TTACAGGGAATAAGATCTTTCTAAGAAACATTTAAATAGATTTAGTAAGCAATTTAGTGCAATGCATACAGTACCTGACGACTTACGATGGGTGCAAGCAGTAATGCAAAGGATCACATCCTTTGCACTGGAAGAACTGTCAAGGCATTTAAAATCGATAAGGGTCAAATGGATATTATATAGAAATGGGAAATTGGAGGTCAATGTACATCAACGAAATCGCAATTGAGTGACGAATAGTCAAAACCGAAACGTATCTCAAAACAAACACGATTGATTCGTAGTGTTCTACGGTATGGAATTAGGGCAATCATTATAAACTATAATAAAGGAAACCTCAAATTTGCGGCCAAAAGCATTCAAGCAAGCGAGAGACAAATATGATGTCCTGGGAGAGCCAACAAGTCGCTCACATTCTCTCCCCACGTCAAACTGAAATGTGGCGGGCATCGAGTCAACAAATGAAGAATAATGTAGACATTTGTGATTGATTAGGGTCAATAGAGAAGCAACGCACGCATAGAGTAATGTCACGAAATTATCGTGGGTTTGGAAGGATTTTCAAAAAGAATCAATGTGAAATGCAGCCGTTAATAATAAGGATGAGGTGAAAAAGGTATCATTAACTTCAAAGAACCACTGTGACCGTTCATTCAGTTTGAAGTTTCCTTGTGTCCACATTTTGAAAGTGGCCACAACAACAGGTTACAATGTTGATACAATAGACCTAACCCATTGATTTCTAGCCGAACCTAGGACAGGTTGGCAATCTTGTCTTCAGGTTTACTACGATCAGGTTAAACAAAACCAAAGAGTATTAACGGCTGGTGAAGAAAGTGAATTAAGCGTGGACTCGGATCAATAGATTATAGAGACATTGCAATGAAAAATGTAGGAATATGTAATACAATTTAAGGGATTATTCCAGATGAAAGGGAGGTGTCTAAAACCCGGATTTGTATTGCACATAAAGAGAAACAAATGAACTGGTCTTCACTAATAAGGGCAAAAGTTTGAGTACTACCTCCAGGACGTTCACCAACGAGAACGTGCCACGTCCAACATCGTCCAGTTAACAAATGGGCAGGATAGCTCAAACGTCGAGGTCTATATACCTAGTCCGTCAACATCAGCAGAGCTGTGTACACTAGGCACAACTTTTAAAATGAAACCTCTTTTGGAATTGAGAACGACGGATGATGAGGATTTGGTTACCATAGGGGAACCTCTGCAACCAGTGAACTTCAGACGCATGCAAACAGTTACACCATGACAATACCGTCTGGAAGGCAAACGAAAGAGCATTGAGTCAAGGCCATGGACCTCAAGCAGTCGGTGCAATGTGTGTCGGAAACATGAACCAAACGTGGGTTTGGATGGAAAAGTACAGTGGGTTCCATGCAAACGATGCAACGGATCGACCCAATACCAATGTGCAGAATAACGTGGCGAGGAAAAGTACATATGCGTGCATGTCATGTGTGCTTATTGGAGATCTCATGGAGAACAAAAACGGCCCCAAATAGGCCCTTACATCTTGATTAAAGTAAAAACAACTATATTCCTCTTTCATTTATCTTTAGCGGTTGGGGTTGGGGTGTTTGTCAAATGGGTCTCCTTTTCATGCGTACAAATATATTAGAATGTGGATAGTTCGCGGAGGGATTATCGTTCGGTTTTACAGTAATTACAGCACTCTGATTGCAGTAGAAGATGTAGATGGGGTTGGAAACAATGGGTATACTCCTGGTATGAAGTTTACCTAAGGGGTTGCAGTTGTCCATGTTGTCGGCTAGAGACGGAGAAGAAAACGTTGGATTTCGTGCACATATACATATATATCCTTATGTACCTATATATGTGTATATATACAACTAGACGTATATATAATGTATGTATATGTACAAAACATCCAACGCCTACCTCCTACTGCAACGAACAGCACGTACAACTGGAACCCCGTAGGCAAACGTCATGAAAACATGCATGTAATAATTGCCTCAAAGCTGGATCTGTGGAACACATTCCATTATGGTACGTACACTTAGAAGTACTGTGAACACTTATTCTGTATTGAAAATTATACCAAACTTTACACATTTGGCTCAATTTTGTGGCACATGCTAACCAGGTAGCAGTATTCGCTTTCTCAACTGAATTCCTATCGATACATGGATTCAGCCTCAAAGCTGGATTAATGGAACATATTCCATTTTGGTATTGTGACTCCTTATTTAATAATGGAATTCTATCCTAACTGATCATGTACCTGTTCTTACCAATCCGTGATATACACTAACCAGGTAGCGGTGGTCACATTCACGTCTGAATCCTATTCAGTACACTGATACAGCGTCAAAACTCTATCAATGGAATATAAAAAGCTTATCGGTGAACATTCTCTTGAGTATAATCACCCAGTTCTTCTATCATGTCAACTTAACACCCAACATTTTATAGTTTTTCCTCCCAGTATGCTGTGCCACTGTTTTTAATCCTGATGGAACGTTGTAAGCTCTGAAATCATCAATGGCATTCGCATTTTTACCTAATCATTCCGCGTTGCGTCTTCGTCTTTTGTATTTAAGTATGTATGTATGTATACCTACTTTCTTGCAGTATTCCACTGTACATATTGTTTAGTGACACGCTCTTTTTTCCCTCACCCCTCCTCAGATGGTTATTACACCAGACTGTTGAGTGTCGCCTATTTGTTCCAGATTCGGTTGGCTTGGGTCTGTCGAAGCCTAAGAGTCTACACCCACAATGGGCAATTTGGCTCCGGCAATGGTTGTTGGGCACGGCTGTCTCCACCGTTTTGACTACACGTGTCCGCATTCCGGACCAGGTTGAGGATCACATCCCCCGCCTTACCTACAAGGTATTTTAAGGTTACGCGTCTAGCGTGTAGTCAGTCCCATATCAAAGTGGCCAACGCCTAAATAACCTAAATCATTCCATGACCAATCGAAGCCCCGAATCTAATGACTGTGTCCTCGGAAGCAAGCTGTGTTGCAGCATACAGAGAAACATGTACTTTGAGGAATGTATGAACTCGCTGTACTCCTTCTTATTCATTCCTAGCCGCGTGTCTCTATCCTCTCGCGTCTTTTGTTTCACAGACCGTCTCTCTGTATTTCGTCCCATCAATACCTCACCTCTAATCCTCACCATACAAGGTTCGCTGTTACTTCAATTTCCATTGGCATTCTTATTCAATGCATTCCTCCGTCCTCCATATCTACGTTTGTGACCCTGTCCGCTTTGTGTTCCATTTGCACTGCGTTTTCTTTCCGCTCACCCACCATCTCCAATTGTGTCTATCTTCTAATTAGACCTTCGATATACCTGCACTTTTAATGTACATATGACTATTTTGAACAAGTGATCATGCTTTAGGCATGCTTCACGGGCTTCGTGAAATATACATTAGAATTATTATGATTATGAATAATAATAAAAGTATATTTCATGAAGCCCCTAAAGCATGCATAAGCATGATCATATTTACAACACAGGCATATGTGCAAGAAAAGCAAAACATTTTGAGAGTAGCAGTGTACTGGTGCATAAAGGATAGGGAGTACTCAAGGGAGCTAAAATGGTTTGAACGCTGCAATACAAATACATATACATGAATACGTACATTTATATATATATGTGTACATATGTGTCTATATAACTTTATGTATATTAATATATATTACATATATATGGTTATGTATACATCTTTAGATGCATTCGAATGTAGATATACATATGTAGATTTTAGTAGAAATTTATGGACATAAATGTATTTCATGCTGAATGTTCTGAAAATCCTTCCGAACACATGATGATTTATGGTGAAATAACTTTATCTGTGTGTTGCTCCTATATTGACATTTCTCGATCATATCATTATTTATCCGTTAATTCGATGCCCGGCACATTTGAGTTTTGCGTGGTTTGAGAACGGGAGCGACGGTTTGCCTCTTTCTGGACATCTTATTTGGCTCGCTTGCTTGAGTGATTTGGCCGCGTATTCGAGGTTTGCTTTATTGTACATTTTGTAATGATTTCGTTAATTCAGTACCGTAGAACATTGAGATCAATAGCGTTTTTAATTCGGGATTCGTATCGGTTCGGCTACGCGTCACTCAAGGGCGTGATCAATTGTGTTTTTACTTCGGGATTCGTAACGGTTTGGCTACGCGTCACTCAAGTACGAATTGGTTGACGTACAACAAGCCTATTATTATACCCCTTCGGAATTACGATTACACTACCGGTGAATTTAAAACCACAATTTTTCGAAACCTTATTACACTTTTTAGGAGTTTTAATCAAATTTTAAGGTTCCTTTCTTCAATTTTGTTACAATTCACTTCATTATTTGGAACTTAGCAGCTCAGAGTTTCATTTTTTTACAAAGAAATTTTCCTAATTATTTTAAATAAACATTTTGATGTTCAAAAAATTTTCAAAATTTATTCGGCATTGGGACAAGGTTCATTTTAACTTTTTCCTTAACGACGATGGTTTTCATTTGCAGATTTTCTATTTTCCAATGCGTAACACACTTTCTTTTACAAAATGTAGTGCTATATTTATTTCTCTTTAGGAACTGGTAATTTTTTAAAATATTTGTTCGCACCACATTATCTCTGGCACCGTCAGAATTTGCAATTCTCACTGATGTATGAATGCATAAATAAATTTGCCCACCATGTTTCACTTCAGCAGTCAAGGAGATAATTTCCGCATTTTGCATTCCACGCCAAGCCTACATAATACTGGTAGACATAGTAAACCGAGATTCATGGTAAAAGGCGGGCTCCCAAGGTTTATGTTGGAAATTAATTCCGGCGTACCGACCAAGATGACGAAAATACATAATGCCATGGAACAAGGGTGTTAATAACGGTATGGGAAACTATGCGTCAGTGCTCTCGAGGTTGAACAGCCTGAAGCGGTGCTTAATTAATGACGAAGCGCTACGGTTCCGTTACGCACAAACGATGAAGATGACTATAGAGAAGGGATATGCCGTGACAATCCCAGGGGAACAGTTACATTGCGATTTTCATCCGCATTGGTACCTGCCTCATCATGTAGTACTAAACCCAAAAAAGCCGGAAAAGCTGCGTATAGTTTTGGACTGTGCGGCCAAACACAAGGGGCAATCTTTGAATGACATGCCCTATCAAGGTCCAGACACCACCGCGAATTTAGTAAGTATACTTTTGCGATTCCGTAAGAAGTTTGTAGCTGCTACAGCTGACATAGAAGGGATGTTTATGCAAGTGAAGGTGTTAAAACATGATAGAGGCGCTTTGATGTGTCTCTGGTGGCTACAAGGTGTTCCACTCAAGGATCCCGAGGAACATCAAATGACAACTCACCCTTTTGGTGCAACTTCTTCACCGTTTTGCGCTAATTTTGCCTTGAAGAGGGCTGCATGAGAGTTCGCTAGTGGTTATGGGCGTGCGATGCTAAAAGCCATAGAAGAAAACTTCTACGTTGATGACTGTCTTGCATCGCTTACGACATGCGAAGAAGCCTTACGTTTCGCGAAGGAAATAACCGAACTATTGGTAAGAGGTGGTTTTAAACTGAGAAGGTGGTCATCTAATTCACCCGAACTTGCAGAATCACCCTCGGAAGACAGCACAAGTACCAACCTAATTCAACTGTTTCAATTTGATTTCAGTTGTAAGAGACCTTTGGGCGTGCAGTGGGACAAAACAGGAGATGTTTTTGCGTTCCAGTTCTAGCTACTAAATAAGCCGATGACAAGAAGAGGTATATTGTCCAGCGTCAGTTCGTGGTTTGACCCGCTAGGTCTGGTAGCTCCTCTATGCCTCCCAGTAAAGCAGCTCCTGCAAACCTTGTGTAAATCCAAAATCGGTTGGGACCAACCTCTCAATGCTGTAGATGCCAGTATTTGGGATAGCTGGGTACGCTTTTTTCGGTGTCTAGAAGTGATTAACACCCCAAGAAGTATCAATCATAATAATAATAATGTATATTTCACGAAACCCGTGAGGCATGCACAAGGCACGATCATGTGTTCAGAATAATCATATGTACAACGTCAGTACAGGTAGATAGATAAAATACTTGGAAGACGTACGTACTGGAGATGGTAGGGGAGCAGAACGAAAACGCTGTGTAAACGGAACACAAAGCGGACGAGGTCACAAACGTTGGTGTCGAGGATGAAAGAATGTGCTGCATAATTATATCAATCGAAATTGAAGTAACTGTTACACCGTTATCGTGGGGAAACGGAGTGCGGCTCTCATAGGAGAAAATACGGAGAGAACAAAATGTCGGACAATAGACGAAGATAATGGAGTCACAGGGATATGAATAAATAGGAGGGAGTACAGCGAGTTCATACGTTTGCCGGGATGCGGACGCATGCAGACAAAANCGTCGAAACAGCCATGCCCAGCATCCACTAACAGGGCCAAAATTTTCCATCGTGGGCTTTAACCTCAATCCTTCGACAGGTCCAAGCCAAGCGTATCTGGAACAAAAGAGTCATACTGAACAGTCTGGGGTAATACCCAGCTGAAAAAGGATAAGGGAAGGGACAGCATGTCACAAATTAATAGGCAAAGTGGAATAATAGTGATGGTATAAGCCTGTATGTATACTTGCATATGTACAGCTA